TTTAACCGACGACGCCGCGGGATCTGCTTTCGCATTGCTTCCGCGGCGCCGCCATCGTTTATTGACAGTATCAAATATTAATACATACGTGGGAGGCAGACGGGACAGTTCCCCGACTTACCTCGTTCAAGCATTTCAAAGTTTTGCTTTAACAATTAAATTTTACATTAACAAAGGTCAACCTGAATTTTATGCATTACAAATTTTACTTGACTTCTTCCTGTCCTTCTCGGGCCGACCGGAGTCCGCCGCCCTTGAATTCACGTGCCTGTCATCCGATTGGCGAGCCGACCGGAGTCCACCACTCTGGATGTTTCGTTCTCCATCAGGGCGGTCACACGTTCCCCTGTGCCCTTCGCAAGGCCTCTTCCTCGCGTTTATCTTTTTCCTTGGTCGACAGAATCACCTTTATCCTCTCCACCATGCGGATGAACTCCAGGCGATTATAGTTTCGAACTGTTTGATAATTCTCCTTCGGGCTTGGTCGTCTTCTGGCAAGTCATGTGACAGGGGACCACACAGGATTTCCTCAACGTCACCCGCGTTCGGAGGTCGCCTCATAATCTCAGTCATTCGAACGCGGTCGTCAATCCATGTCGGGCAGGTAAAAAACCGTGTGCTCAGCAGTGTCGTCGGGGTTGACGCAGTATACGCAATAACTGTCGTCCGCCCGACTAAACCTCTTCAGGTAGCTCCGGAAGCAACCGTGCTCCGAAAGCACCTGCGTCAATCGGAAAGTCAGGGTTAGCGGTGGCTTTGTTAACCAGCGCCCAACGTCAGGGAGGAGCCGGTATGTCCATCTGTCTTTATCAGACCGATCCCACCGAGCTTGCCAAGCTGCAATGCTGATTATTCTCTCTTGGTTTTTAACGGTGTTCGGGACGACGTCAGTCTGGTCGTCCAGGCGAACCCGAACTCTAGCCCTTTCTGTTGCTAACAGGTCTTCTGCAGGTAGCATTGAGGCCAATACTGACGAAGCGTCGGCCGAGACTGTCCTGTAGGCACGTATGTTATGCGGAGTGCGACTGCCCTCTGCGCTCTTGCCAATTCTGCGCGATTCTTAGCCGTTTTTGTCCCGCGGACGGCCTAGGTCGGCGAGGCGTACAGCATCTTACTGTTTGCCACAGTGCCAAGAAGCGCTCTTTTGCTTGCTCATACCTACTTATATAAATATATTTAGTATTTTTTATCTATAATGGCATTAAAAATGTTTTTTTCAATTATCCACTGCAGGATTATTTTACACACTTTTTTAAGAAAATTAAATATATTGGCAACTATTGTAAATTTCAATATGCTCAWGGAAAAAAAAAGAAGATGAAGATTTGAGATCAGCGTTTCTCAAACTGAGGTACGCGAAACAATTCTCTTTATAAAAAAAAAAAAAATTAATTAATCTTTATTCACATTAGATGTTATTCGCCATTTAATTTATTTGATATTAACAAGTTTTAAATATATTGACTACTTGGAGATCATTTAAAATCGTAGCGATATTTAAGATAATGATAATCTATTAATCTGTATACTATACATACTCAGTGGCGTGGTGTACTGGAACTTCAGAGGCAATTGCCTCTGAGATTTTTTTAAAATAAAGGGGTGGGTGGTAACCAGTGAGTCCCCTATAGTAGATGTAATATTATATACTCAATAGGTAGTCAATAACGATTTGAAATATAATTAGTTATATTAAATTAAGACAATAGTATGTATTAATATTTGGGATATTTCTAACTTGCCTCTGGAACATTTTTAGTTCGCCCCGTCACTGTGGTCGGGTATGACCCGTTAAATATAAGATAAGGTCGCCACACACTGCAGCGGTGGCGGTAAAATTCTTTTGTCTTGGCGGTGCCGGTAAAATTGAGTCCGGCTTCATTTTGCCGTAACCGCCRCCGCCACCGCTACCGCTGCAGTGTGTGGCGACCTAAATTCAGGGAAGAAATTAGTTCTTTTGRWTATATTTTCACCGTAGCTGGGGAGCAATGGAGCATGAATGGTATTAGAATCTTAATATTATAAGTAAATAACGATTGGTCTAAAATTTAGACTCTAAATTATTATTAATACAAACAAATTTATTATTACTTACGGTTTACGAACAAAGTTACCAAAAATGTGGGATTGTATACGGAGTTCAGGTGCGCGTGATGGTAATCACGGGGAACTGTCTTTCTCTTACATATCTATATTGGCCGGAGCCTTATAGTAATAAAATATATAAGTGGCACCTAATACCTAAACCAGAGCAGGGGCTTAATATAAACATCATAATATTATTACTATAATTATAGTCAGCGCATAATATGCCTATTGTGCATATTATGATGTTAATAAAATACACGTAAGTAATGATGTAACATACGTTAAAACTGTACATATTAATCTATAGACTAATATAGTCTATAATACAATTTAAATCGAATAGGTATCGATAAATTTTGGTCAAGTGGTAGGTACTTACATAAATATTTTCAAACTGTTTAAGTGGTAGCCGGTAGGTACGTGGATATGAAAAGCTGGAGAACCTCTGCTCTAGATATCAACCGAGTATTTTATTTAAATTTGGCAAAGATTAATATCACAAGGATATTACTCAGTCGTTATCCACCAATTTGTACCTCACACAAAAATATTTTCCATATTATACATTTCAGGGAGATTACACAGATCCAGCCCATTTAGTATAAATATATAGATATTTTTTTTACCACATCAGAGTAACTCAGTAACCGAAAAGCGCCACCAATCTTGATTCGGTGGAAAATTAAGTGAACCGGGCATATTACATTATGAACTATMGTATTTATCAATCTGCAGCTTTTTTTTTTTAAATTTTTTCCGCAGATTTCCGAGGCTGATATTACAWTATATGGTATTTATGGCTGGAAACGATCGGTATACGAAACACACTCGTTCGACCGAACAATATATTTGAATTGAAATCAAATTTGCCGCCGTCTCTCGTCTGTATTATGTAACAATCGAATATTGAGTATAATTCATATTCTTTTAATAATAAACTAATATTGCCAAATATTTTCTTCTTCAGAATAACAATTTTCATTTTATTAGTTTTAAGTTCAATAAAACGATTAAAAATATATGAAAATCTTCGCAATCACAATAATGGGCCAATTATTATTACCTATAGTTAAAAATACATCCAGTTTTCAATTTTAATGTCTACAAGGACTGCAGAATACTTCATACAAGGTCTCTCATATTTATAGTTCTTACATACATTTAAAAATACCAAAATCAAAATTTTGGCTTAAATTTCATTTGGATATTTAAAATTCAAAATGTGTGTATGAAAAATAGGTAATAATACTAATAACAATCTCATACAGCGATTTTTATTATTTTGGTGTAATTCAAAAACGAATAGCTGTAGATACTTGAAATTTATATCATATGCTTATTTTATCAATTCATATACTTAATACAATTTTTAAAATATTTTGACTAGTTTTAAAGTCAAAATTTTAAAGTCCGTAAACATATTCTGTTTAAAAATTGTTTAGTTTTTTTTTCTCTAAATATCAATAAATTTTTTTTCGTTGGATCAAAAAGCTTAAAAATTTAATACAAGGCTCCTGATATATTATTGTTACAATAGCTAATGAAAAATATTAAAAATTCATCAGCACAATTAATAATATTTTTAATAGCTATTTTATGATAAAATTTGAACGAAATCGCATATTAAATAACCAAGAAAAACGATTTTAGTTTATTTTGTTGTAATTTTGTAATATTAATGCAACTTACTGACGAGACCTTATTAATAATAACTAATAAGTAATAAGTAATAACAATATAAATATAATATAAAATATCCAACTGACAAACCGCCTCAGCTAGAATATAATATATAATATAATATTAATATAATAATAATATAACATTAATAATATATATTAATATATATATAATATAATATGATACCGTTTTTCGTATACAATGATATTATATCATTGAATTCAAATTTAATACCATCCATGAAACAGTGAC